TGACATCACACCCGAAGTAATGATCCAGAGTGGGCATGTAAGTGATCCAGGGATGGGCCGGACCACTGCTTTCTGGGGGTCTCCCATGTTGATGCGCTCATGCTCTAACATCGAGACGAAGAGAGCTAGTAAATTGTTTAGGTCCACAACCAATGCCCGCTCGTATGAAGATGACCTTCAAAACTTGTCTGGAAATTTCCTTGGAGTAGCACCAAAGTCAATCCCAGGCAGCCCGACATCAGTAATTACCTCATGGAGTGCCGATAAAGTGATGCTAAAGAAGAGGTCTTCGAGTCAGGTGCTTCCTTCAAGAAGTAGGAAACTTTGGTGGAAGCTTTTTCTATGGAGCCACAGAAATCTTCACAAGACTTGGTCTTCGAAACCAGAGAGGAATGTCGCCCTCGATGATGGTTCCAATCAGAAAGATGGTTATTGCTCTGATACACTTGAACCAAGCTGCGGGGCTGATTTGAAGAACAAGAAAGCCGTGGAAGAATCTGACATTAGATGTAGGAATGGTGCATGGCCTCCGAACCAGTGGGTTGCTTTTTCTGCAGAATCTTCTTCCTTCGATAGAGTTAGTGCTTGGGTTCACAATCTTGATGACAGTCCATTCTGCCCAATCGAGGACGATGAGAACGAAGAAGATGAAACAGCAGCAGGGTCTCAGACACACCCAATTTTTCTGGAGACCGGAGAATCATCCAGCAGAAACTGCACTCGAAATGGCCGGCGTGCAGCGGAGGAGGTCTCGCAGGCCAACAACATCATCCAATCTCTGAATTCACTTTCCTCGGTGGCTCACATTGCCAGCATGGGCTTAAAGGTCATACCAGCAATTTCAGTTTTCACCAGCCTCCGGTCAGTCAATTTATCTGGCAACTTGATAGGTAAAGAATTGGCCACTTAATTGTGTAGATGAAGTAGGAACTCATTTCTCAACCATGGATGCTTTACATGACTAGTCTCATGTTGTTGCAGTTCACATTTCGCCTGGATCTTTACCCAAGAGTCTCCACATGCTCGACTTGTCGAGGAACAAGATTGCCACAATCGAAGGACTCAGGGAACTGACAAGGCTTCGCGTTCTTAATCTCAGCTATAACAGAATCTCGCGAATAGGTCATGGTAGGAATTCCTATCTTCATAACTTTGTTGTTGGATTTGCTTGTGGTGTCCTTTGACTTGATTTACTTCTGCACAGAACAGCAGTTTGAGAAAATGGGTGTTTTATCTACATTAAATTACATGGGGTTTTAGTAAATAAGTCATTGATCTAAAACAAATGTATCTTTTAAATGATCCATAGCTGAAAGAATTCGAGCGATCGGAAAATGCGAATTCTTTAGGGAAATTATGCCTGTCAGTAGATTCTGAGTTCTGTGGTTTATGATTTAGGTATGTGCTTCTCTTCCAGTATCATAACTATGACTCTTTTTGTTTTGGTAGCAGATATCTGTCATTACCGGCTCTCCGACTAGCCAGTAAGGTCAGTTATCTGCTTGAGACATTGAAGGTTCTCATTCGGAATGCGATAAATTTGTCCCATTGGTATGTTAGCTCACCACACTAGCAATAGATTTCATCTCCTAATAGATCAGTTGGGAATAAGGTGGTCCAATTGGTATTTGCAAGTCTTTTCCTTTTTGTAGTTTGTAGCTTCTATTACAACATTATGACTTAGTACTCAACTCACTGTTTATTTTGACAAGAACACAAAATCTGTAATGCATAATAATGAATCTTGTTTGAATTTTCCATAGTCTGGATGTGTTGGTGATACAACTTTGGGTTGAAGAATATGTGGATGTCATGTCAGATTGTCCGTAAAGTTATTTGAGGTGGTGGGTAAGAACAATATCTAGTTGTATTCAGCTGCAAAAGAACACAATTTCAGATAAGATGCTAATGAACTGAATTGAAATGCTTTCATCATGAACTTAGTAGTAGAAATGATATTATCTGGGAATTGAAAGGTTCTGTGGATGCTTTTACAGGGCTGTCATACTGTACTCAAATCAAGCAGCTGTATCTGGCCGGGAACAAGCTTAGCGGTGTTGAGGGACTTCACAGGCTTCTGAAGCTCACAGTTCTTGACCTGAGCTTCAACAAGATAACCACAGCAAAGGCATTGGGCCAGCTTGTTGCCAACTACAACTCCCTGTTGGCCCTCAACCTGCTTGGGAACCCAATTCAGAGCAACATCGGAGACGACCAGCTTCGTAAGGCAGTCTGTGGCCTCCTCCCACATCTAACGTATCTGAACAAGCAGCCTATCAAGCCGCTAAGGGCAAGGGAAGCGGCAACCGACAGCGTTGCCAAGGCTGCCCTCGGAAACAGTGGCTGGGGAACACGGAGGAGGGCGACGAGGCGAGTTGGCCAGGTCTCAACTAGTTCAGTTAAGGGCATGACCGGCGAGGGAAGCAGCCATAGAGGTGCAGGTAGCGGCGGCGGGCACAAGAGCAGCAGACATCGATCAAAGAGCAGGCACCAACACTCCATTTCTACGAGGAAATAAGCGCATCGACCTTGTGGGTTTCCAAAGTATCAGACCTTTATGAGATCCACGCGTGGACCAAATCTAAAGATGTTATTCGACAGAGTTTAGGCCTAAATTAAGGATTTGATTGCAGTATGGTAACACCATCGGAGGTGTGATGTGAAGAACCCAAAGTCACATTCTTGGAACTCTGTCAATGTTGTTGTTCCATGTTCTGTCTCCTGTACAGCTATAAATTCTTTTGTCTGGTAGACATGTATGTTGTTTGATCTGAGCTACTCATTCATCATTTTTCTAAGAAGTTACAATTAGATCTGTGTGACAGATTGTTTTATGGACTTCAAATTTACAATTAGATTTGCAACTGTCTTTTAACTCTTGCAGTGATTGTCTTGAACATTTTCCACCGGTTATCTTTAAGGACATCGACCAACACCAACTTCTTCCTTCAGTATCGGAGATGCTCATAAATCTCAGATCAAAGGTACTCTTATATATCAAGATGATGTGACCCATGAAACATATCAAGCAACACGATACTTTATTAGTAGTAGTAAGCGCCATTTGCAATCCAACGACATGGGAAATGGGAAATGGGAAATGCGCAGGCATCACAACTTGTGCAGTTTGATCACTAGAACTAGACAAAGGTTGATGACGGACAGAAAGCCGGAACGTCGCCTGAGCTCTGCTGCCGCAGTGGGCGGCGGCCGGGGGTCTTCACTGAGTGGGGTCACAGGAAGCGTCGTGGGCCTCGTGCCCGGCCGCGGCGCAGCCGGTCTCGCAGGACTTGCCGCAGTCGGAGTGACCGGTGCCGGGGATCGTCTTGCATCGCTTGACGCACTTGCAATAGCATGAGCCGTCGTCGGCGGTGGCGGCGGCGGCGGCTGAGGAGGAGGCCGTGAAAACCACCACCAGGCAGATGAGGGTGAGGGCGAGGGCCTTGCTGCAAGCCATCGTTTGATCCTCCTTGCTGCTGCTGCTGCTGCTTGTGTGCTGTGCTTGGAGAGCGGGTAGCTGCTGAGTCTTGGATGATGGGTGTGGCCTTCTCGCTCTGGGATTTATAGCTATGGGAGATTGCTCTCACGCATGACTTGTGAGGCAGGAAGTGGTGGTGGTCTCCTCCATTGTTGGAGCACCATGAATTCATCCTTCGGAGCTGGTCAATGCGGAACTGTCACTGCGTGACTGTGTCGTTTGATTGGGCCGAGTGCAAATCCCATTTCTGTAAATTTATATTTTTTTATACTTTTAATGTACAAATATTTTTAATTATTTAGTAAATAATTAATAAAAATTAATTATTTGTTATTAGTATATTACCTTGGATGACTAATTGTATATTACCTTTTAAACTTAGATTATATTAGTATTATGATCCTTATACTTAAAAAATTATATTAAAATTTTTATAATTTTAAAAATAAAATAAATAATCTTATTTGTCTTAACATTATCAACTGTATTGATGGAAAACACAACACGTGACACTATAAAATTGATGAAAAACACAACACGTGACACAACAAGACAAAAAGATAATTTTAATATTTCTTTCATTTCTAATAACTTTATTGGCAAAAGGATAATTTAAATATCTCACGTGCTAAAAGTAGAAGAGAAATTAAAATTATCATTTTATCTATCACTTTTGTATTGATCCAATAAGTTATATCATTATTGTATTTTTCACTAATAATGACTTTAGGATAAATACAGTTATTTATTTTACTTTCATAATCATAGAGATCCCAATATAAATTTTTTGAAGTACAGATATTATAATGCTAATAGAGTTCAAATACAAGTAACTACAATTTGTTCATTTGCCTTAACATCATTATAATTTTAAAAATAAAATAAATAATTTTATTTGTTTTAACGTCGTTAGTTACATTGACGAAAAACATAACATATAAATCGATACGAAAATGATAGAGAAGAAAATAATTTCAATATACCTTTCGTTTCTAATAACTTTATTGATAAAAAGATATGTTAAAATAATTTTTAACATTCTATACATTAAAAATGAAAGATATATTAATCTAACCAATTGTGTTACTTATATGTTTTTGTTTTCCAAAACAACCGGCACAAATGAAATTGTTTATTTTCACAGCTCGCATTTTGAATCCCACTGCCCTTACAGAAAGAGACTTCCGCACTGCACTGTTTGGTTTCTCTTTCTTCCAATCTCTCCGGCCTTTGTGCACAAGTCACTATTGCAGCGACGATTTGAAGTTGTCATAGTCCCATGCATCGAGAAGTAGCAGCGGCTGCTGCTGCTGCTGCTCCGAGAACAGGCTGCTGCAGAGCTCCTCCCCACCCAAAAATTCCTCGTCCAAGTAGCTGCCCTGCGCATCTCGAGCCTTGTTGTCAAAGGAAAAGGAGGAACCATGAGGCCGGTTTGCTTCAGCATTGAACACCACGCTGCGGTCGCTATCGGAAGCGCCGTCCTTACAGATCAGAGGAGGCCTCGCCTCCTCCGCTGCGTCCATCTCAGAGGCTGAAAGCTTCGCTTTGAGATCTCTGATCTGAATGGTTCACCAGGGATGTGATAACACATGTATAGTACTTGAGACGACATCTCGAGTTCTGCATGCTCACCTCGGCTATAAGAGCCTCCTTGTCGTGGCGGAGGGCATCACAGTCGAGCTTGAGGGCATCATGCTGAGCCTTGAGGTTGCCGTAGTCGCGCTCGACCTGCTTCGTCTTCCATCGAGAGCGGCGGTTCTGGAACCAGACAGCCACCTGTCGTGGCTGCAGGCCTAAATCTTGTGCCAGCCTCAGCTTCCTCGCGGGGTCGAGCTTGTTCTCCACTTCGAAGTTCTTCTCCAGTGCTCTGGCTTGCTCCATGCTTAGTCGGCGCTTCTTCTCTCCCAGCCCATTGCTGCGGAGCTCCTCCTCGCACTCCATCTCCTCCATTCCATCGAGAAGAAATGCCTCATCCTTAACCATTTCTTCCACTGACAACAATGAAAAGTGCAGGTCTAGTGATCTTTAGAGAGAGAGAGAGAGAGAGGAGGAGGGGGACAAGACCAGGATCTCTTCCTACCAGACCTTTAAGGGAGTCTGAGCTGCTGAGCCTCTTCATCTTGTTTTGAAGTTTCCTTTCCATTGTAACTTTGTGGATGGGTCACGGTAAGGAGGACGGAACAATAGAGAGCAACAGAAGTGAGATGGACGGAGGTAGGAGGAAGGTTTGGCTGAAAGGGAGCTAGTTGTTCCAAGGTAACTCTTTTTTGACCTTGTTCTTGCCCATCTTCTCTACTTTGAGCCCATCACCAGATGCAGAACAAACAAGCTCTCAACATAACAGAACCTGATCTGATGATTCAAGAAGAGAGGTAAATGATTTCAGCAAGTTCATGGAGTCTATAAATAAAAGACAAGCAGAGCTAATTAATTGTGGTGGTGGGGCTAAGAGGGTGACATAGTTGAAAAGGTAGGAGAAGGGAAATGAACTGAGACTATGATGCAATTGACACTCAAATGCAACAGTGTTCCACTTGTTTGTAAGAAATATTTATGTTATTGGTGGAGGGAAGAGATGTTATTAAATTGTTTTTGCTTTTAGGTCTCAATAGCATAGCTAAACCTATCATTTTCTTATCTTTGCACCACTTGCAAATCCAGCTGAGCCACAACACAACAATCTTTAGACTATACTTGGAAGCCAACAACTCATGTCAACATGTCTATTCCACAGTTATCACCTAATAAAAAAAAAATCAAATGGTAAACGATTCCCTTTTTCCCTGTCTTCATTTTTCTCTCACCCATGGCTTCTTGCATCTATAACCAAAACAAAATCCATGGTACTAATATTTTGGATCATCTGCTTAAAAAATTGAATCATGTTGAAGATGAAAATTGCTTTTATTTTTATTATTATTAGTATTGTTTGTTTACCAAATCTTGTTCATCAAATGTCTAAAACATCTATGAGGTGGAATAGCAACGTGTATCTGTCTTGAGCACGTCACATTGATTGCATGGACCAATAAAATGACATTGTGAGAAGTTTTCTATTGATGTCACTCGCAGAGAATGGCTGGCCAAAGACTGAACATCACATTACTAATGGCTAGAATTTGGTAGAGATGCACACCACAAAGAGAGTACGAGTAGTAAACATCCATGGTTTACGATCCAACAAGTCTGATCAACTTTTCATTTGCCGATAAATCTTAGAGACATGACATCCACAAAATAAGGAAAGAGGGCAAAGATAGCTGCTGCTGCTGCTCCGGTTGATGCTGTATAGAAACAAACCTGTTTTGAGCGTGTCTATGAATATACCATTAGTGCAGTGATTGACACGGCAAACTGAAAACTTTGATGATTGCATCCTCTATAGACTTCTCTTGGATATCAGCAACCAAAGCTTGAGCCACTGATTCCTTAATTCAGCATCCAACATATCAAAATATTCCAACAACTCCAGAACAAAGGTTCATCAAATTGTCTTCTTAACATAGAACCATCGTCATCAGAAAAATGCTCCTCCATATCACACAATATTTCTACATTTAAATACAAGGATACAAAAAAAAGATGGATTTAGGAGCCCATGATATGAGAAATAACCAATATGCATTCTTGTTGAAGATGAGAAACTTTCCACACCGTACTGCATTATAATGTCTCTACACAAGTCCGAAAGGTTCAGCATCTCAGGAAGAAATATATTCCCCACAAAACAAAGAAGCTCTCTTCGATATCAGCAAATCATTAAGCTCGAGTATCCTGAGCGGCTGAATGATTTTAATGTTCTAGTGATTCTAGTTCTAAGTGATAAATTCATCAAGAATAGAGTAAAAAATGTTATCCATTCTGACAAGCTTCTGATTCTTCTTTGATATCTTTTTCCCTCATCTTTTGGAAAATTTAGACCATAGATAGATTAGAAAAAAACAGAAGAGAGCAAACAGGACAACATGTAAAACATGGTTTGAGCCCTGCTGGATAATTTTCTTGTTAATCCTCCTCACGTTGTTCTTTACCCCTGCCTGAGCTTTTATGAGAGTCATTTGCTGTTTTAAGGGAAAAAAAATGTATCAAATAATGATTAGAATATAAACTATGAACAAGATCTAGTAGATATCCAAATATATAAGCATTTTACAGGATTTACGAGACTTTATTACTCATGTGAACCAGCGCTCATGTGAAAGAAAGATAATCTGATGTTCCCTGATCAGGTTAACTAATATTTCAGATATTCAAAAGAAAAGGGAATGGAAATACAATTGCACTGAATGTGAAAACTAGGTAGATCATGCAATTTCTAAATCTGATATAATTGGATCAAGTTTTAATGTTTATGTCAAACCAAAAGAACAAAATCAGCGAATATTGGCCACAAGGATGACAATAAATTGAAACCATGATGATGTTGCGCCTGCACATGCAAAGATAAACTCCTCACCACTATATTTTCCTATTTTATGGTTGCAACAATCTTCAATGTAAAATAATCTTTATCATATTTTATTTTTTAAGGTAAATTTGAAGATGCCCCTTTTTTCCCAGTACATGATGAATTAAAACGTTTTAACTTATGAACATCATCTGTGAGGCCAATGTTATTCAATATAGATTAGACAGATTAAACTATGCCAAAAAAAACTACTAATAATCATCTACCAAATAATTCAGTATTAGGAGGAGAAGCTCAGACCTAAATTGCCCGAACCGGGTGGAAAGTTGAACTCAGGTGTGGGTATGGATTCAAGGAAGTGACAAGAATCATAAAGATAATGTTTGTGCATGTGCAAATCTTTGATCAGTTAGGATCACTCGTGCTGCCAGGTAAAGATTCAAAAAGGACAAGTGATATCTTATTTGAGCCAATCTTTTACATTTTTCTGCATCCGATAACTTATGCATAAAGCAGAAAGGTTTGGAAACATGTTTACTCAAAATTTGGTAGATAGATGGACATGGTCAAGATATGGTCATGTTTCTTGATACACAGAATGTGGTCAAGATAGATATTAGGAGTTACAATTCCAAATATTAAGAATCCTTTCCTAGGAAGCAAAATCATCAAGACACCGAAGCAAATGCATTATCTTTAGGAGAGATCACTGCTCTTCAAAGGAACAAAAAGCAAACACTCATCACCACTCATCCCCAGTATATAAAAGTTCAAATACCAAACCATGGCAATGCCATATGAATTTAACATAATGTCTAAAAGATATTAAGAAAATCTAAGCACTTACATAATAAATATGCCAACAGTCACAAAAGCATCTAGCAAATTAGCATTATAACCTCAATCTCCATTTTTTCATAAACATGAAATATAATTTTTGTAGTTCTATGAATGCAATTAAGGAACTTTCGGAGAGTACATACACAAACCGAAAGTAAATATATCATGAAACTAATATAAAGAATTGTGATAGTCCTTTTTCTTCAAAAATTAAGAGTGTGAACACTTAAAGTTAAATAGATAGTTATAGTTCAGCCATTCGATAAATTAAGCACGTAGGCGCACTGGGGAAGTGCATGCGGTAATTGAAACTGCCAAAACTGACTAATAAGTAATAACTGAAATTACCAACTGAGATATGAAATCCTTCTGAAACTTGGCTTCATTTTCAATCTCTTGGGCTACCTGGTATGCCAAATATAAGTTTTGTTAAACAGAGAAGCCACAAAATCCGGGCAAGGAAAGAAATTATGACAAAGACTTATCTTGAAAAGAAAATGCTAAATGAAACAATCTATAAATCACGTTAGCAACATTATCAGACAATTATAAAGGTCAGTCTTATAAAACAAAGCATTGAGGTTACATTTATTCCAAGCACATATATGTTTTCATAAGTTGAAGCCCATCGAAGATGTAAAACTTAGAATATTCATAATTATAAGATAAATACAGTTGCATAGATAATGAAATACTGCAAACCCAAAACCCGTTGGTGCTTAAGTGTCTAGCAGTACACGATAAAGCTTCCAGCTTCTTTTTCTTCTTAGATATTATCTCATGAAAGTTTGCATCGCATATACCCTTAAGGATAGAAAATAATGTGCAGTTAATCGAATTTGTTTGCATATATTTATACAACTTTGCTTTTGTTTAATTGGTGGCACCACCGGGGTGGATCAGCTTTCTAAGGATTTTAAAGAATGACATTTGTTAACTTTTGTTGATTAATTAAGCACATCATAATTCGTTCTCCAATGAATCTCCGTGCCTTGTGCTTTATGATTGTATTTACCATCCTCGGATCTATCTCAATAACCAATCATCTCAGACATAGAAAATCTTAACTTACTTTTGTAGAATCCTTAAGCACGACCCAACAGAATCATAATCATGTTCTTTTTCTTCCCAAAAATGTAAATAAGTACCAGAATCTTAATAATGTATGGCTTATTCAAGAAAATATAATACCAAATTTTCCATAGATCCTGGAAAAACTCAAATAGAATGCAACCAAGCAACATTTCAACGACAAACCATTATGTGATCCAGATTGAGTCAGCCCTAGGAACACCAATTATTACCAGGAACAAACCTAAAACGTTCGAAGCCAATAGCATCTCTAAACGATCACCAATTTTTGTTCTTTATTTTGCCAATATCTTCTTTATTCACATCCGACTTTTCCATCAACTATAAAAACACATCCAAAATGAAAAGAACGAACTCAAGGTACATAAGCTAAGAAAACCAAGATCAACAAACTCCAAACGCATTTCCATCAAGAGAAGCGAAAAAAATACTCACGCCCTTCAGCTGTCGGATCTTTCCACGGAGGCCAGTGATGTGATCGTCCAAATCCGCGTGTATCGGATCGATCTGCAACTGGATGTCATCCGAGGCCGCGGCTGGCCTCGAGGTGAGGCCCTCTCTGCAGCCCAAACCCCGAGAGGCCAAATCTAGGTCATCTTAGATACAAAACAAAACCAAAAAACAGCAAAATTCCAAAGAGAGATAGAGAGAGAGAGAGGAGAAAAGAAGATGATAAACCTCGATCGAAGAGGACCAGATCCATGGAACGGATTCGCCATTAGAACCAGCGAACGAGCGCTCAGCGTGGGCGAAAGGGGAAGAGAAGACGGCTCGCAATCCGCGGAAACTTAGAACGGGGAAGAATGGGCAAGAAATAAGGGAAGACACGAACGGTTCGGCTCACTTGTTTTGGTCCGGTCCGGTTCTGTTCAACCGGGTTTGTTCATGGTTTGAACTTTTTGCATATTAGTCCTCTAAATATTTGTTTTTGACCCCGGAAGATGAACGGCTGGGATGCACTTTCACTCCAATGCTACGGAGACCGCCAGTTCACTTTGACGAGAATCTGCTCACCGAGTTGCGAATAAGATTGTTAAAAATAATCGATTTTGTGCCAAAAATAAATTCATATCTCATCTCGCAGATGGCAGTAATATGACCGGAGAGTCTTCCGACCTCCGTACATCATATTGGGAGGAGAAGAAAGTGGATGGTATGATTACCCCGCGAGTAGTCACTTCTGCGCACTGCGGTAAGGATAATGACTCCATATTCAAAACATTTCATGCGGGTTCGATGTGCGATCAAATTTCGGTCCGATTAAGCTCGAGTGTGATTGATTTCTCTGTTCTATAGCGTAAATTGAGTCGGAATCGACTGCAATCGATCGGGTTCAGTTATATATATATATATATATATATATATAATTCTTAAAAAATTCTCAATTAAAAAAAAAATCCAATGAGATTTTGAATCATTATTTTTTTATAAGTAAATTAATAAATTAATATTTATATAGAAAAATTTATATCGAATGAATGAAGTTTCTATAGTTTATGACTGGTCTGATACACACAATATAATATTATTGAGACATACTACTGTTCTTCCGAGCTCGCTCCCCCCCCTCCGAGCCGATCCCCTCCCCTCCCGTCCCCTCCCGTTCCGATACGATGATGGCCTCATGCCAACTCCTCTCCCACCACCCCCACCCTTTCAGTTTCGATGAGAAGATATCCAGCGGACTCTTCAAGAAAGGGGCGGCTTCTCCCACTCCTTGCTTTGGCCTCGGGACTTCATGTTGGAGGAGGACGACGAGGAGTCGTCCGTCGCATAGAATCATGGCTGACTCAACATCTGGGAGGAGGCAAGTGGAGGTGCGCGGAATTACAAAATTAAATGCCCTAATTGTGGTTCTGTAATTTCAATCGGTGTATTCTAGGGCATTCTCTCAAGGCAATTTGGTTTCTAGGTAGTGTATGATCCGGATGAAAGGTTGAACAAGTTGGCGGACGAAGTGGATAAGAACACTGGACTTTCTAGGCTGTCCCTCTTTTCGCCGTGCAAGGTAGTTGGCCCTGAACACTCGGACTTCTCTCGTTGATACCGTTGCCATGGCAGTTGAATTGATCTGTGTCTCTGTGGTTGTGTGACCTGCAGATAAACGTGTTTTTGAGGATTACTGGTAAGCGGGAAGATGGTTTTCATGATTTGGCATCTCTGTTTCATGTAAGTTTAAAGCTTTTACTCGCTGCAAGTTAAATAGCTAGGAAAAGGGATTGCATTTTCTGTTATTAATTTATTTCGTACCTCTGTACGATTGTTGTTAATCTTAGTTTATAGGCCTCATTTGTCGGCCCCAGCACCGTAGCAATAATAGCTGAAATTTCCAGTGTGGTAGTGTTTGCAAATGAAGAGTTATTTGGCTACTAGAACTAATTACACTTTTGTTGTGAAGTGCTGGATGCTTATTCTTGTTTGGTGATTTTTCTGTCAGTGATGAGGCAAGTTGCTGTTGTATAGATATGGAAAACGCTTTGGGGTTACAGTTTCAGTGTTTATCTTCTTAATTTATGATTTCTGATTGTTTTACTTGTATATCTCTCAAACTTTTAGGTTATAAGTTTAGGAGATACTATCAAATTCTCCTTGTCGCCAACTAAGACCAGAGATCGCTTGTCAGCTAATATGTCAGGTGTTCCACTGGATGAAAGAAACTTGGTATGTTTAAGTATCATATGTTGTCTTCAAGTGGATATTGTCGGATGTTTGAGATAACTAGACTTGAGTTTTGTACTATACAGAAAAAAAACATTTGTTTATGTCATAAGCTTTCATGGAATCTTCTCTTACGCTGGAGTTCTGTGTTGTTAATTTCAGATCATCAAGGCACTCAACCTTTATAGAAAGAAAACTGGTACCGATAACTTCTTCTGGGTAAATCCATATGTTTTGAGGCAAAGTCTGAAATTGTTTGAAGTACATATTCTTTCTTAGAGATTTTAAATTAATGTCCATTTCCACATTACGTACAGATTCATCTTGATAAGAAGGTGCCTACTGGTGCTGGTCTTGGAGGTGGAAGTAGTAATGCTGCAACTGCATTATGGGCTGCTAATCAATTTAGTGGCTGTCCTGCTACCGAAAAGGAACTTCAGGAATGGTCAGGTGAAATTGGTTCTGATGTTCCCTTCTTTTTCTCGCATGGAGCAGCATATTGTACTGGTAGGGGAGAGGTATGCATCACATAGATGTTGCAAAACTATTGTTTCCTTTTTCCCTCTTTAGAGACTATATAGCTAAATATCATCTGGCCTTGTGTATAACTTTTGAAAATCCAATCTAGCTTATGCTAACATGGTAGAAATTTTTTGTGATCGTTTGTCTCTTTGTAGTTTCCTTTTAGCACGCGTATGAAATTTCTGTTGAAAATTCCTCTACGGTTCTCATGTTAAAGAAGCTATTATCAGAAGAACAGAGCATTTTCTCTACAGGATTGACAAAAATGTCAAATATGGAATGCTGAGTTCGAGTTTAGCAACCTCCAATCGATTAATTTCCTGCTATATGTTAAGCAGTTTTAACTCAAAGAGTATCCCTGTTAGTCCAGAGTCACAGATAGATGCATGTATCATTTGGACATGGTATCTGCATCTGGTATCATAGCTTATACTAGAACACAGTTCATTATCTTATGGACGTTGTCAAAACTGGAGATTCATTTTAGTAGGCATTTGTAGTGGCTCACAATTATCCTTCAAGAAGGATTTAACTGATCGAGAGTTCAGAAATATTTGAATGTGTCATGATTAAAAACTCACACTATGTTGAACTGTGTCTAGTTTATTTTGCTTATGATTAACTGCATAATGACAATCCTGAAATTAATATATTTTAACATGGCGTCCTTGGACGTGAGGTGTTTCTACCTTTCTTATAAGCATTTTCTTGGTTATCTTCATGTTCTTTCTGTGTCGGAATGGGAAAGGCACAATGCATAATTTTTGTTCTGATTTGGTTAACTAGTATTGAGTTTGATGGTTTTCTCGAAGGATATTTTTGCAGGTTGTTGAGGATATTCCACGTCCACTGCCACTGGACTTGCCTATGGTTCTCATAAAGCCTCAAGAAGCATGCTCAACTGCCGAAGTTTACAAGGCAACAACATATAACTTTGATTAAACTTGACATGCATCACCAATTGTGCCTTTAGTTTCTACCTACTTAGATTATTTCTTGTGCAGCGACTTCGGCTAGACCAAATTAGTTCATATGACCCACTGGTGTTGCTTGGTGAGATCACTCAAAATGGAGTATCTCAAGATGTTTGTATAAATGATCTTGGTATATATTTCTATTGCACCTTTTTTATGCTTATAGTGTCTCTTTCTAATATCTGGTCACTTGCATATTAAGAAATGGTGCTTCTGCTTTGCAGAGCCTCCTGCTTTTGAAGTCCTTCCATCTCTTAAAAGGTTGAAAAAACGTGTGCTTGCTGCCAGTCGCGGACAGTACGATGCTGTTTTCATGTCAGGAAGGTAAGATGATCACCAGCTTTGCTTAGGTTAGATATGAACACCTTTGGGTTTGGCATGAACTCATAAGCTGATATTTTACTGGATTCTGTTTAGATTCTGTACATGTTATTCTGCTTCCACACCCATTTTGAAGCTTGTTTTCCTTTTGCTTAACTGAATTAAATGACTTTGTTTCTCAGACTTACATGTCTTGGAAATTGTGTAGCTTTAACTTGCTGATGTTCAGTTTCTAAACTCCTGTGAAAACTTTGAGTTTGTCTGCTAATTTTGCAATATCAAATAAAAATAAGCGAGCAAGCAAATTAAGAAAGCAAGTTATCCAAACATTCTGTTGAAGATGCACTAGAAATTTCTTCTCTCCATGTTTGTGGCATGCCTGTGGCTGACACCCCTGAATGGACGAATGGAGACAAAAAAAAGTTGAATAGATGTATGAGAGTAAAATAGGAGGCAAGTATTTGTTATGAGTCAGGATCTTTCACAAAATAACATACATAATTCTTGCATCCATTTTTTCAATCATGCAGTTGTTTGAAGCTCTATACCTTGAAATGATCTTGTTCTAGAGGTCCATGTAGCATTGTTCATCTCAAGTTTTCAATGGATAAATCAGAATTTTCCAATTCTCGCAAGGGCATGAATGAAATCATCCCTACGGCATAAATTGTGCGACCCTGTAAGCATTCATGACTGAGCCCTTGGAAGCATCCTCCAACTTATATGTTTTATTGCGTTTGGATTGAAGTATAAAACCTTATTGTGGATGGTGACTGAGTTTGGTTCAGCATTCGGCAGAACTGTGCTTGCAACTGGCTGAAAATTACACTTGATGGAAGTCCAGGTCGTGAAATTTTATGGAAACAATGCCGGTCGTGTTGGCCCTGTTAAACTATCATTTTTTTTGACATAGAATACAGATAACAGAACTACAAGAAAGTTCCTTTTCTGCATAATGTTATCTCAGAACTACAAGAAAGTTGTTCTGAGATGATATTTGTGCCTGATTTATGACTATATTTTGCTTATTAATACGAATGGTTCAATCGCATATCTCATGAACAAATAATCAGTGATGACATTTGGCTTTTGAATTTGAGCATTGGTGCGTTTACTAATCCTTCTATGTTCTGCACATATCTCGATCAGCGGAAGCACCATCGTCGGTGTTGGTTCGCCAGAGCCTCCATCATTCGTCTATGATGATGATGAATACAAGGATGTGTTCGTCTCAGGTAAATGTATTGTCCATTTCCATTCATACGTACCTGTGGGTTTCTAATCCTGCCATTTCTCTATCCAATTGCAAAATCTTAGTACATGTTTGAATTATTTGATGCAGAGGCGTGCTTCTTGACACGCCAAGAGAACCAGTGGTACAGGGAACCGAGTTCACCGATCACCTATTCCAGTAAAGATTTGACTTCTGGAGCAGCACCAACAAGTTGAAATGATCTGTCATTCTCTTCCTGCTCGATTCGCAATTTCCTTTACGAATGAGCATACAGATTTATGTAATGGCTAATATATGACAGATGAAATAGCTTGCAGAATTGTGTATGCTTCACAATTATATGATATTACCAGCAGCATATCAAAAGCCAAAGCTGGGCTTACTTATTCAAGTTCGAGTCAAACTCATCGGTTCGACCTTTCGCTCTCGGTCAGAGGTGACGTGTTGTCTCGAGGCTTCCTTCGTTGATCACGTCACATTATCGCCGTTACTGTTGGCCTCAAGTTTATGTCATAGGAATGGCGATGCGCCCAACCGTACATCCAAGACGACCGTCGCATAAATGCTCCTCCTCGATTTCTCCGGTGCTGCCACTGGTGGCGACCCTCCTCCTCGCCCTGGTGGCCCTATCCGGTTGGAGACTGCGGGTCGAGCGCCTCCGCCCCGATGAGACAGACGGGGTGAAGCCGGACCCCGAGTGCACGACCGCCCTTCCGGCACGCGCATCCGCTTGCGCCAATGCATCCGCGAGGCTCTGCTCCGTGTGCAAGGCTGCCGCCTTCTGGAGGTGTAAATGCTGTAAGGCCCGTCCTCTACTGGTAATCCGACTTCCCGACTGTTGCCGTTCATTTGGTTAGAGATTTCACAAGGCAAGCCTTATGATGATTTGATCATATCTTCTTTCTTTTTGTCAAAGGTATGATTTCATAATTTCTAACAGAGATGAGTTCTCGTAAATGCTCTTTGGTAATTGGGTTTGTGAAGCAGTAGTAGTCAAGAACAAGCGCAGACACCACCAATACCAGAAGCAAGGACAGTACCCAACAATTGGAGCATTAGTGGTTACTGCATATGCTTACTTGATTAACATCTTTTGCAGAAGTAACCAACATGCTATGGTCAAACTAAAGGATAATCTGAGTCAATGTCAATGTTCATATATCTTTTGCCCTTGAAGCCTGTAGTGCCTTCAAAAATCACATCAATGTACAACTTCAGACTCTGTTTATTTGAATTTAGAGGCTTGAGAAGTTTCCACTTTAGAATTTGGTGGAATCTACCTGCCATATCCCACTTACACCTTTTGAACCAATGCCTATTAGAATATGTCAAATTGTGAACCTACTAACAACCTAACCCCACGTAAACACTGTTTCAGTCGAGCAATTATTTGCATTTCCTAGAAGTGGATCAAACTGAATACTTAGCAATCAGAAGTTACACATGTAGGTTTTAGTTTTACTTGAAGCCTTTAACTTACTTTAGAAGTGACACGGCATATTATTATGGATTTCGCCATGTGGACATGACTCCTAACCATGCCAGCACAAGCGCGGAACCTCGGGAGGAAGATGTCGCTCCACGTCGGATGTGCCACTAGGAATTCGGGATGATGGTTGCTCCCATCCCGCGCCGTCTAGGGCCGCACGAACTAATGCCGCCCCGATAAGGACCGCACCGGGAAGCTCGGGACGATGCCGCATTGACGACCCAGCCATGCCCACAGCCCCTCATGAGGATCTCGGAGCACGCTCGTTGGGGGGAGGGGAGTGATAGGGCATATTATGGATTTCGCCACGTAGACACGACCCCCAACCACGCCAGCGCAAGCACGGAACCTCGAGAGGAAGATGCGGCGCCACGTCAAATGTGCCACCAGTAATTTGGGACGACGATCGCTCCCCTCCCATGCCGTTTGGGGTTGCACGAACCAGCGTCGCCCCGACAAGGACTGCACCGGGAAGCTCAGGATGGCGTCGCATGGCGCTGTTCTGCACATATCGGGTGGCAGTCGTCTGAAGGTACGAACTTGCCGTTTAGGGAGTCGGTCGCCGCCCAAAGGTCGCGTACGACTGACTCTCAGGCACCAAAATAAAAACCACCTGCCAACATCTGGCAGAGGACAGAGGATCTTTGGCAATGAATTCCACTAACTTAATCTTTAGAGGGACCTAAGTCAGGATTTCCCTCCCCATCCTGACCAAGGCCAGTGTGCAGGAATCCGGTGGTGACAAAGGCGAACGAGCTCATGAAGAGGCGTATCTCGACCGATCCCGAGCTCAACCCGACGAGGCGAAGATCTTATCCTCAGGACGACCCTGGACATCGCCAATCGGACCAAGTCATACAGACTCCTTGGCCATGGCATAAGGTTCACCAACAAGAAGTATGTTCCTTGTGATGTAGCACCAACAAGATTTTATATCTCAGATTGCAAAGAAAAAAAAAAGAAAAAAGAAAGCTAAATGGTGTATCAAGGAAAGAGGAGAACACAAAATTAGTAGGTACTGATAATGTTTATTAATGTTGGAATTTTCCACAAAATTTTCAACCATGTATTACTAAATGCTCACATTTGTTTAATCTGCCGACAAGAGATAGATGTGATCCTCTACTCCTTGGTTTGAACAGGAAATTATTTCTCATACCAAGTTCTATAAACATGAAGAATAAAAACCTGTGATAAATTTATAGGGCATGTTTGTTGCACACTGATTGAGATATTCCTCTTTTTTGAAAATTTCAACATGAGAAGATTTGGATATACAAAATAATGAGTAAAGAGCAGACATGATGCTATTTAAATCCTACTATGTGTGATGCTTTCTAAATCCTGTTGGGTGCTATCTTAAATGTCTAGTCTCCTTCCTTAGGTTCCCCAAAATCCTAAATCATGAACCACAACAAATTTTATGCATTTTCAAATATTCTAAGCCAAGTTTTGTAGTGTCTAATATGTCCAGTTCTTTTGATTCCACAACCGAGCCTAGTGGTCTAGTAGTTGTTGTTGTCATCCATGGGCCATGTCTATGAACCAGTGTGAGGCCATCCTCTTGTGCTTGGTCATTCAGTGGAGGCACAAGATCTGCCCTGTTTTCTTCAATTTCCGAAGTGGCCTCTCCGGTGAGGGTGAGATGTTGCTGATTCCTGAGTTCTCAATCAGTGTGTTTTGGTTATAGTTATGTATTCTTTTGTTATATGTTATATGCACTCCTAAGCATTATCATCTTTATTTAACAGGTTTCCATTATCTTTAGTTACATAACAAACAAAGAATTAACAGTTTCTTGGAAATTGCAGCTCTCAGAAATATGTCAGATTCTTCACTGGAGATCAGGTCACAGGAAGGTGTGCCGTGCTAAGAAATTTGATCATCCTGCCCATGTAAGTCTCTCCAACTTGAGGGAATCTTTTTGTGTCTTAAAAATATGTTCTGTTAACAATTTATGCTTCAGAATTCATCACATCTTGAGGAATTCTAGTATAATGCTGCTAAGAATTCTGAGAATTGAGATGATAATACTAGTGCCTATATGTCCGTAGCAAAAAAAAGGAACATTTCTAGGTCTACGAGCCTTCTTCCAACAAACCAAAGCTTCTACCTTTTAGGATTCTGAAAGACCCGTGTCGTGATTGCTGTAATGCCTCCAGGGTGACCACTTGAGATGTGCATAGAGAAGTTGTGTCTTACGTTTGGATAAAGATACAGCATTGCGAATAGAAACATTCCTTCATGTTTATTAATTGTCTTGCGATCTTCATGGTTGAGCTCAGTGCCCAGTTCTTCAGTTGCTTTCCATCCTAAGCCATCTCAGGAGGCAGTTGATGCTGCTGCAAGAACTGACCTAAGAGTGAGTGAAGGCCCGCGGTCTGAGGAGCTTTCGACACTACTACGGGCAGAGCTAGAGCAAGCAATAGCTGAAAGAGATGCCCTTTCTTTTTCTCGTATCAACACCTTTGGGAGCTTCCAAGCATCATCATGTGCTGAGTTGGTGGCTATGTATTCTTCAGGTTGTGATCCTAAAGTTAGAGATCAAGAGGTTGACTCAGCTCATAGAGGAAGGTGTTATCTAGATTAGCTGGTAAAGACTTGATGTAATCTTGGCGATATTATATTAATACCTTCGGGTGTTAGAAAGCGCATATCAACTTGTATCCACTTGATGAATATAATACCTCTTTTAACTTGAAGAAGTCAGAGCCGTGTGTCGAGTATGAATGAGATTGGAAGCACATCGGACAACCCTACAGGAAACAAACATCAGCCGCCATGAAACTTATCACCAACCCATTGGTTGAAGGTGTTAGGAAAGAGAAGGCCATCAGACCCTGCAATCTTTCACTAATCCTGTTTGTCACTGTATTATAAGCAGGAAGAGATCATTTAGGTAGAACGTCCATTGTTTATGCATTGGAAGTCTTCGTCACTAACAAGCCAAGATCACCAATCCTGCAAGCAAAAGATTCATGGCTCTCCATTGGTTGGTTGGTTGTGGTAGACAAGCATCTTAATCGTCTCGCATTTGCTTGTAATATTGCAGTGAGTTAGAACATACTTTTCCAAGGGGCTGTTTGCTTGTAGTTGCAGGATTCCTGCAACAAATTAACTTCATTTAGTGTGTCAATCACCTCACATCTGGTTGATCCATCAACAATGGAAGCTTGCTTAGATTTTATGATTCTTTTTCCATTCAACTGCAATTTCTAGAAGATGCATTCCACAGCAAAAATCCATTAGATCAAGTCAAACTACAAACTTTTGCTCGAACGATGAGATTATAATAAGAAATCCTTCATCATTACTCAAAACTAATAAAATGATATCTCATATAATTAAATATTTATATTTTAAAAAAATTATATTAAATTATTTATATTTATTAAAGCGAAACATTCGATATCGTTTGTCCACGAAAATACTGCATATACTCAATGATAAACTGAAGTTGGACAGAGTTAGCACATACTTAGTGATAGATCTTATCGTATTTTTGTGAGTAAAGTCGATGATATTAAGAGAAATGAGGTTAAATTTTAAAAATATAAATATCGAAATACTAAAGATAACTAATTATATAATTTTGTTTTGACTAAATCATTAATGATGCTTATCTTTGTGTTTATGTTCTAACTTGGCTTGCCTATATATGCCAATCATATAGCTCTTCGCCACAAGACTCTCATCGCCTACGATGGCTACCACCGGTGACCTCAGTGCAAACCCTCCACCTGCTCTGGGAAAGCTGGTCACGGTTCTGAGCATAGATGGAGGCGGCGTGCGTGGGCTGATCCCAGCAACCCTGCTTGCCTTCCTGGAATCCAAGCTCCAAGTATATATATCAATCTGGTGGTGCTTTCTTCTGCAGCACTTGCATTTCTTGGCTCGCTCACTCATGGTAATGTGATTGGCAACAGGAACTCGATGGAGCAGACGCGAGAATAGCAGACTACTTCGACGTGATTGCTGGAACGAGCACCGGAGGACTCGTCACCGCCATGCTCACGGCACCGGATAAGGATAAAAGACCACTTTTTACTGCAAAGCAAATCATTCAGTTCTATCTTGATAATTGCCCAAAGATCTTCCCACGGAAGAAGTCAGTGGGATCATTCATTATGTTGATTCTTCATAGCAAGAAGACGCCTATATACGATTCGCTTGTTGCAGAGCTGGTCTTCTCAATCCACTGCTGAATCTGTTTGGAGCAGTCACCGGACCTAAGTACGATGGCAAGTATCTGCACTCCAAAGTACAGCAACTGCTGGGTGATACGAAGCTTAGTCAAACCCTAACCAACGTAGTCATCCCTACCTTTGACATCAAGTTTCTTCAACCCATCATCTTCTCAACCTTTGAGGTATGTGTATATATTTGTCCCCTCGCTTACCTCTCCGTTCAAGTAGATCTCTATACAGTGAATGCCTTGTTGACTGTAGACGAAGTCCACGCCATTGAAGGATGCTCTTCTGTCGGATGTTTGCGTTAGCACATCTGCAGCTCCGACGTACCTCCCCGGCCATTGCTTCGAGACCAAAGACGATGAAGGGAGCACTCGGGAGTTCAACCTTATCGATGGTGGTGTGGCAGCAAACAATCCTGTACGTGCTACAACTTCCGACGGCATGGTGTTGAGGATGATGATCGAAAAAGAAAGAGATATGAAGCCAAACGCTAATGAAAGAATCATAATAACTCAGAACATAAAACCCTTCATTAAATAAACCTGATTACAATCCCTCAACGAATAATGCTCTTCGGGTCATCGTTTTTGCTCTCTCGATCTGACTTTAAGAGATGCACTATCTATGGATGACAGACTCTAACTGCGATGAACCAAGTGACGAAGGAGATCTTCATGGAGAATGCTGATTTCTTTCCGATCAAGCCAGTGGACTACGGCAGGTTCCTCGTCATCTCCCTCGGCACCGGATCGAACAAGCAGGAGGAAAGGTTTAGCGCAGAAGAGAGTGGGAAGTGGGGGTTGCTCGGGTGGCTCTACAACAAGGGCACGACTCCCATCATCGACATCTTCTCTCAGGCGAGCGCAGACATGGTGGACATCCATGCCTCCGTTCTCTTCCAAGCGCTCCATTCCGAGCAGCATTACTTGCGGATTCAGGTACGACGTGTCTTCGCACTTTGAGAGATGGATGCATCGATGGGTTCAACCTCGCACGTCTGGGTTCGAGCAGGAGGACGCTCTGGTCGGAGACACGGCGTCGGTGGACGTATCGACGAGGGAGAACTTGGAGAAGCTGATGGAAGTCGGCGGCAACCTCCTCAAGAAGCCGGTGTCGAGGGTGAACCTGGAGAACGGGACCTTCGAGCCATGCGACGGAGAGGGGACAAACGAAGAAGCCCTGACTCGATTCGCTCGCCGGCTTTCCAGCGAACGAAAGCTGAGGAATTCGAAGTTACCGCTCTGATCTTACTGCGTCCGCTCAGTGTTAGCGATCGGTGCGTTGAAGAAGTGTGGATTTCTTTGGCATGCATGCAGCCATAGATTATACCTTTCATGCAGACGAACGTTGCACGCATGCACGCTGATTGCGCGTACGTATAGTGCTCGATGAAATGATCCCAAAAAGCATCGAAGAAATGTGGAGCGTAAATAAATTATAATACATGAAGCATCCGTTCACTAACTAAATTATCTCCATTTCATTGGAACTTACACGAGAAAAATTGCTATATAAGAGCAATCAGGAAAGAAATATTTATCCTAGTCGGCAGGCGGTCCAAAAATTTCAGGCTCGCAGTTTGTGGCTGCAAAAGGTTCTTTAGATCATCCGGAGGAAGAAGGTAGAGATGGCGGGTTCTGTCACGGGCAGCAAAGTTTCTTTAGGTCTTCCTCCTTGGAGAAGGAGGTGGGAATGATCCTCGAAGCATACGGATGAAGATCTTTGTAGGCGTTTCTTATGGTGCCTTCTGCCACACCGGTTGCGAGGGATATGTCTGCAAAAAACAGAAAATAAAAGAAGAAAAAATATTTGTGTTAAGAAGACGAGAAATAAAAGAATTGGCGTAAAAAATGAGAATGAAACTGTGAAACCTTTGATTTGTTTCTTGTCATCAGATAGTTGAGTTATCATGTAGATAACAGCTGCTGCAATTGATATGGGGCTCCTCCTGCACATTTCACTGGTCAATACAAAAAAGATACAGTTTCCGGAGGTAATGGTCGGCGGCAACAGACATACTATCCAATGGATGGATATTTAGGTTAAAAAATGATACGATATGCTGCTACTATACGTTAGTTCTCAAGGCTAAAAAACCGAAAACTACAACCTCAAATGAAAAAATCGCAATACAAAAGGTGGTATTCTTTTTTGTGCCAAGACAGTATTGAGGCTGTATCTACATTTCAAACGAGGAGATAAAAAATGCTAAATTGCAATGGCCTGTCAGCTCTATCAAGCCATTCGAAAATGTAGTACCGTATGTCGAGTTCGTCTGACTTTTGAACTGCTTCTTGAGCCGCTTTAACTTCTTGGTTTGTCATGCCAAGATGCGAACAGAAACGTCTCTGCAAAACACAGCAGAGAGCCATGACAAGTGATTGTTAAACGACTAAAGACGTAAGAAACTAAAAATGCACATCTAGATCGACGTCAATAGCATGAGATTAACATCGGTTAGACATGGCCACAACAGAAACAATAGCAGAATTAGGTCCTCAAACTAACCAAGAAATCTCCTGCGTTTATTGTGCCCATCTCCATGGATTTTCCCATCTCAACTTCAAGCTGTTTGACGATAAATTCTTTAGCCCGACCGATGTCCTTCTTTGTAGCTCCATTGGCAACAGAACAAATCTCTACTTGAATGAAAAATATATATTAGCGATATCTATTAAAGACGAAAGTCAGAATGCAGAAGAAAGTTCGACATAATCAACCTTTTACGGTACGAGGCTTGTCCTCCTGTCGGCAAGAAATGTATAGACAAGCAGCTAAAATTGCCTCTTGATTTCGTCCTCTAACAGACTTCAGATCTTCGACTTTCTTATATATCTCATTGGCTCGATCCTTAAAAAAGAGAATAAGTTTTTGTTTATGAAGATCTTGAGTGTTCATGTCCATCTAATTCAGGTATTAACGTCGACAAATATTCAACGTTGATGTCATTACTCTATCAACAGACCGTATTCAGAAACACAAGGTCGAATAAAATGATTATTAGGGAATTAAATTTTTTGGACTGAAGAATGGCAAAACTATCATCAGCATAACACATCGTGCCTTTCATTTTCAATGTCTAGCATACGAGTCTAACAGGCTAACGGTGACTTATGTTTCAAAACAGAGAAGATGTGATGCAAATAGCACTGAAGGAGATGATCAGTGAAGAAGATTAGGGCACCTAAAACTTTCAATATAATGATATTTTCTCATGAGCCATGTGCTTAGCCAGTGAGACACAATATATTTCATTGTCTACTTCTAAGAAAAGGATTATGATGAAAAGGAAACTTCAGAATGACGCAAGAGAAATGTCGTACCTTGATAGTGGCAACAAGACCTAACCTGAAAAACAAAAGCCACCAGATCAGAACTTGCAATTATATATGACTAGCAAATCGATAACATTGTTGGTTCAATTTCTTGCCAAACCATCCCGTAATAGTTTTTAGCATCATCATTTACCCTTGAATATTCTAAACCAAGAAACAGAAGAAGGCAGATGAAAGAGAGGGAAAAGTAAATGTTTCCAGTGTTACATGAATAAATTCAAATGTAAAATGTGCACCGATAGATCGCTTCTGAAAATAGTAATGCTGTGGTTGTTGAAGAACCGCCTACATCCCAGGTTATGAACTTCACAATCCTGAAGACTTGTGCCGCTACAGTTAACCAACCCTGCTTTTTCTTCAGCCTCTCTTTCTCCTTCATAGAAGTAATTGCAAATCGATAACCTTAGGGAGAAGTAATAATGCCCCTTTTGAGCATCACACCATTACGCAGATGCCATTTTTTTGCCTCTCATAAAAGCCATGCCTTTGCAAATGCTCATTCATCATCAAAATTAGTTACCAATTCCTACTAATACCAAAATTGCTCTCTGGAAAAGCACAATCATGTAACTATTCATTCCACAAAACTATGTTTCGTCCAATTTCTCAGATTAGAGAGAAGAAACAAAGGACCTAACCAGTTCGTCCCAAAATTTCCTCTATTGCATTGAATTCACAGGATACAGAGATTGAAAGGTATTGAGGGCTCCCCAGTCGTGTTTTTTTTGGTACCCAAAATTCAATGATTCTAGAAACTAAACATCTTTCTTCACCTAATAATTTGTACCCACGCCATCTAGTTTAGGCAACTGTCAATTCTAAAGGTTCGATCTTTCATCAACCAAGAATTTGTGCCCGGACCTACGAAAAGTTATACATCAGCCAACCCTAATGATTTTAGGAATATAAGATGTTCGGTCATCCAAAGAACACGTTAACATCGCCGTCCAAGGAAACCCTAAAAAGCGAATCGATTCGAGGGTCAGAAGCCCATACCAAAGGCGCGTCTGTCTCTACGCCGAAATCGCACGAAAGGGTTGTGTCTATAACCTAAGCAAGGGAAGAAAATAAGAGGCGGGGGGCATAGGAAGAACCTATCGGCCATGGTGGCGATGGCCTTGAAGGCGAGGATGAGGGACCGGTCGGAATTGGAGGCGCGGTTCTGCCAGCGGCCGAGGGAGGAGGAGAGGAAATCGCCCTGGGCACCTTTAGGTGTGGAGATGACGGTGGAGAGGCCGCCGTCGGATAGGAAGGGGTTGGCGGGGCCGCCGACGCGGACGGGGTCGTTGTCTCCGGACTCGTTAGCGAAGGTGCGCCACTCGGAGGTCTCGTCGATGGAGTGCGCCTCCAGAACCAGCCCGCACTCGGAGCACACCGTGTCCCCCGAGGAGTGGTCGAACACCACCTCCGTCGACCGCTTGCAGTCGGGGCAGAAGCCGTCCCCCATGGAGAGTCGTCTCTCCTTGCAGAGAACGGGATTCAGGTGAGGCCTACACGCCATGACCACACACATATATATATATAGAGAGAGAGAGAGAGAGAGAGAGAGAGAAAGAGAGAGAGACGGATGGAAAGCGTTGTGTTTGCTTGGTCATGGGAACGGTTGGCGGACGCACGTGACATTTGGTTTGTATTATTCGCACAGGATAAATATGTCCGACAGTTGTTGTAGGAATCAATCATTATACGGTATCATAGAAGCCATAGAGAGAGAGATAAAGGACTGTTCAATCGATTATAATAAGGATTCCTCAATCAAACTACAACCACCATTTGAAGTTATATTTCTACCCTTCTGATACATTATCTATCATATATTAATATCTTTATATATAAAAAAAATATGTTAATAGGGAACCTCATCAATCGGATTACAATCATCCAAATGGTTCGTATTTGAAAATTATTCTGACATTGTCATCCATATTAATATTTTGATATCAAAATATGTTAGATAAAATTTTGAACACTTTTGTTTAGAAAATCTTAAACCAACTCAGAAATAAATACTCAGATTAGAATCATCAAAATAGTTGGCATTAGAAAATTATTCCTACCTTTTTCTAGGAAGAGTGATGCATTAATATAGTATTATGCTAAAAACACTTTTTGTTTAGCATCTGAAATCTCACGACCATCAAAATTATTCCTATCTTTCTGGGAAGCATGATTATATTTATCATCATATTAACATTTTATATGTTAAATAAAGTTTTGAATACTTTTGTTTAGTGAATCTCACATAATGTTCAAAATAGTGTTCGTATTTTGAATATATTAATATTTTAATTAAAAAAATATGTTAAATAAAATTTTGAATACTTTTGAAAAAATAAATCTAGTATTATTATCATGATCATTCTAATATTTTATATTAAATTATATTGAATATAATAATTTAAACCTTTAACTTAATTAAATATATCAAATGACAATGTTAAATCTTCTGTCACAAACAAGCAAGACTTTCATGCTTAGTACCTCCTAATCAAACTCTGTTATTAGTTCAAACTAATACAAAACTCCTTTGTTGGCTTTAAGCCAATGTTTTATTTTTGCAAAGGACACTTGATATTATCCTTTTTAATGTTTTGACATTTAAATTGGCATCCATAGAGAAAACATGACTGGATGTGACACATACTGCCAAACAGAGTGAAAAAAGATGATGTGAGTGAAAAAAATATTTCGTATATAAATATTTCTTGTCTCTTTAAGATGATAATCTCTACCAAAAGGACCCATTTATCTACAGATGAACGTTTACAAATTATTTTCCCTGTATTTTAAATTGTTCTCGAAGCACATCTTTGCCGACGCTGCCTTCAAAATAACGATGACCAATTTTGATCTTTCATCATAATTATTCTGTGAAAGGAGGAAAAAAATAATAATAAATGACTCATAAAACAAATTTAAACGAGGTTACGAGACTCATCTAGAATTCCATCACACCATCCAGATTTTTCATCTAAAAATTGACACTGCAAAATTACGATTCTGATTCTTCAGATGAAAGACGTGATTTCAATCTCTTCAAGAACTCCAATGTCTTTGCATAAGATGGATCTGTTTGGTTAACTGGCTTGCATGAATTTACGTGATCGGTGGCATCCAATACCTGCGCCAACAAACCAGACGATAAAATATTTATTAGATCATCATCAAATTAAAAAAATCAAGAGCTTCATGTAGCTAATACAGCAAGTACATATACAATTGACAGTCAGCTGAACAAACTAAAAGCATCTTCTATCAAAAGCATCCACTAAAACCATTTACTGGTTCTTTAAGTTACAAGATTAACTCGTTCTGTAAGTTTCCAATATAATTGAATAAGACAGCAAAAATCAAAATAAACTACACGTATACTGAGATCGAGGTATATATTTCAATACAAATACTTGGTCAGACTTGTAAATGCTGGTCTGTACATACCGGCTCAACTAAATAAATGCAAAAGGGTATAGATAACTAGTCAAGATCATTTAAAGCAATCATGGAGAACAATATAAGCAAGGATGGATGGTCATAGCCCTTCAAAATCACATCAAAGAATAATCAGAAAAAGTTATATTTCCTATAACAATAACTACAAGAAGCCGTGATGTCCTAACCATTTGAGGTTGACTACATGATTTTTTCTTTAATTGCTATGAGCATTGTACAAAGCAATATATTAGTTAGTTAAATTAAAAGGAATTAGTTCTTTATTTATAATTTCTAGGAAAGTCTTCGTAATTCTCCCTTTCCCACTGATAAGTAAGAGTGCATACTTCCTAGGAGAAACAGAGCCGACATGTTGGATCATTTTACAATACCTAGCTCAGGTGGCCTGAATTCTTAAGTTTCATATTTATGCAATGAAAATACAATTATCTTAACTGGCACATAATACTAGTGAGAAAGATACCTAGAATCATGCATCAATGTTAGGATTGTGACCAATAAACAAAAATAATCATAAAATAATAGCCCTCTATCTTCATTTTAATTAAATGACCATGATTGCAAATAACATCACAGTTCAAATAGACAAATGTTAATATAATCACACTCAAATATATAAAATGCAGTACATGTGACCCTAACATTATTTGGAATCCACAATGCAATTTTACTTACAACAAGTTCACCAAAGCCAGGGTATGCGGATTCAATTGGTACAATCTCCATTCGAAAGGCCCAACCACCATAACCTTCAACAATCGGAGTAACCTGTGTCTGTAATGATGCGTGTTAGTCTAAACAAGTTGAGAATACTATGTGGTCATAAAAATACAAGTCTTACCTCACTGAAACTGAGAACCTCAAGAAGTCCTTTTTTATTGAGATGACGAACAAAGTCATTCAATTCTACCAATCTTGGGGATCCACTTCTTAATTCTCCTATCTAAAAAAACATAATAGCACCAGTGGCACGTACATAAGCTAAATAAGTCACATCTTTATAGGAAAGAAGTTTAAGTGGGTCCTGAAGCTACAAACCGTAGGGGCTGGGCGTAGAACTAAGCCCATACGCCAAGGCATGTCAGCTAGCTTGCTGCCAAAATGTGGACAGCTATAGAACACCTGCACTTAAAATTAAATTATTAGTGGTCCATGTCACACATGTATCTTTGTCATGACATGGCATACATACCACTCCAATCGTATTTTTCACAAACTCGGTGAGATTACTATTTTTTGCTTGGTACAGCATCTGCTTGACAACAAGCCCTCCCATACTGAAAACAAGATATAGCAAGAATTATAAGTTTGGAAAGCTTACAAGAAAGCAATGGACTATTGCATTTATTTATTATTCATCAATCAGCATAAGCACAGATTTCCATTTGTTATATAAACCATTGTCCACTGGTTCTCAAATGCAAACTGTCTAAATTTCACAATTTCATAACTTCATATGATCAAATTTATGTTGTCCATCACAACATTGCCTACTGTACCATATAATAAAGTCTGCATTCTTGTTGCTGCATGGTATCCTAAATACTTTCCACATACTAGCTATATATATACGAATTCATTAGGCAGAGGTCCTGTAATTACATTTAGAGTTAAATAGCACCTTTAATCAATAAAAGAAATTGTGATTCTTCAATGCAACACCTCATGTCAAATTAAATGTACATGACATAACACGAGACACATAAATATAATTCTGAAAAACATACTTAGCCTAGCAGAAGATGGACCGTATGCACATGTAGGCTAAAGCTTGTAACAATTCAACAAGTTTAAATTTCTTTCGTTGTCTTCAATAAAAAGACTTAAGGGCATTTGAAAACTACTACTGTTCCTTGGTTCTGTAGTACAAACAACAATCAAACAACATATAGAACATATCTGATTACCTCATTGCTAAATATTTTTTTATAGAAGTATTACTGTTCTTCTGAAAATATTGATGTCCATTTCCATTGCTTTTTTCCTAAAAATGAATACCAAGTATTATCAATTTCTAGATGATAGGATACACTCTCCATTGGTCTTTGCCATACCCAAAATTGTTTACTAATCCCTGCAACACTCATGACCTTAGACAGTCCCTGGCACACCTCTAATCATTTGACAAGGTTGTGTTGATCATACATACTTTAGAAACCAAGGGAAAAAAAGACTAAAGGAAAAAGGAACATATAGATTTACAAACACTTTTTATTTCTAAGAAGCAAAAAAATAAGTAAATGATATGTTAATATATGAGTAGATCATCCTGACAATATCACATATTTAGCAGTCTCCATGTGATCCACCAAGAACATTTCAGCTAGTTGGGTACTGATTCTTCATCCAAATACATCATTGTGGGGACATAGATTATTGGCAACCAGAGAAACTTCTAAAGCGCTAACCTCTTTATGAAGTTCAAGCAAGATCCTTTATCATAAAGTTATATTATCTGATCAACAATGGTTTACAACTTTATATTGAACCAGAGAACAGAACAGACAAGACAACAAGTATAGATGACCACAGGAAAGGCTGGATATGGTATTTCTTTCTTGCAAAGTATCAATCATAAGATATACAGTGTAAGCCAGGCCTCATATAGCATAGAGAAAAGTACAGTGATTTTTAAAATGCAGTTTTTTATAGGGTAAAGCAATATAATGTGATTTTAAATAGGGTACAACTATATAATGTGATTTGTTGTTAGTTGACATGTATTTGATATTTGATAATACAAGAAGATGGAACTAATTCCATATTTATAATTGCTGCCTAATATCATACCTATGTGTCACAAACACAACAGGCCGGTCACCAATGCCTGCTCTGGTCAGCTTTCTCAGGAGCATCGAGCTAACTTCCTGCATAGAACAAGAAGAATTCAACTATCAAATATTATTAACATGAAGATGAACTATAAATTGTAAACCTTCAAGAAAATTGTTGTCTCCAAATAAATGGATGTCTTAGAGGCAACATTTTAGGTATCACAATAAACTAATATCCTTCAACATAGCAAGAAATGGGATTGATTCTCATACAAAATAATCATCATTCAATCCTTTTTCCAGATATATGGTGACCAGAGAAAAGAAAAGTTTGAATCTAGAAGGTTCAATTGAACATTTACAAATAAATTCCTTAAAATGGTTGGAAAGAGGACAAGAGATGACCTCAAATGTACACCCTCTGAGTTAATACCCTTCTGGCATATCACCTCTCAAACGTTCATCAATCAATTATCAAATCTTAAAGACTATATTAATACAAAAAAAGAACAACAACAACATCTGTGATGTCCCAACTGTTTGAGTTGGCTACATGGATCTACATGGATTTTAATACATAAACAAAAAATCAGAATTTCAATTGCCATATCTTCATCAATCACAAAATCTAGAGGGTTCAAGATCAACTAAACATTGAAGTCAAACATGGCATGAAAATAAAATTGTTCCTTTAAGACCTCAGTGACCAGGGTTCGAGCTATGGCAATAGTTTCTCTCTATGGCCAGGGGTAATTCTCTATCTTTTGTTCAAGACCAATTGAAACATCACCACTACCAAGGATAAGAATTGTGCACATTTATAATACATTGGTAATCAGCATAAAACATTAAGAATTTCATGCAACTAAGATGTGATATATCATAAACAAGAAATATACCAATAAAAAACAGTGCACATTTATCAAAAAATCTATAAGATATAATAGTTTTAAACTCATAAATTTAAGAAACATGAGCAAAAAATAGATAAAACTTGCATGGAAATGAATTTTCCTTGAGTATCGCATCAAGATACTCTTCGCTTATCAATCAGTTGAATTCATTACTTAACTCCAAGGTACTAGGCTACTCTTAGATACAAGTTGACTGAGGTATTTTACAAGTATTATATTTGTTTAAATCCTTCCCACACCCACTCTGAGATATTAGTGATTGCATTGCACAAGACAACATTGTATTAAACAGCCATTCCTTCTTTCCTTTATAACCTAATTGCTTGATCTCTCGATTCTCTTCTGTTATTTCTAGTGGCCACTTACACGCAGCTGCATTAATTTGCCTTTATAACCAGAAAATTTTCTTTAAGATAAGCTTGAAACTTAAAGAATCTGCAACTAAAACAGGAAACTTGACAATTAGCAGACTTGAATATATGGAGCAAATAAAACAGCAATTATATCATTTTGAACCTTTGCCTACAGAGTGGAGAAAGTGTAATATCATGGACCACAACTCCAAACAACAAAATTTTCAAAAGATCCTCCAAAAAGGTACTAACCTGAAGTGGCAAGCTAGCTCCAGACCATTGAGTTAGATTTGTCTGCATGAATCATTTCAGTTAGTAGAAAGTTGTTTCATCAGAGGGTCCAACCTGGAGAGGACCTAGGAGAATTAAAACTACGAGGGCTGCTACTGAAACTTAAAATGGTTGAGGATATTACATTTTCCTTGTATCTAAACATGTACAATAGCATCATCTAAGAAAAATTAAAGAGCAAAATGAGGTTAGCTACAACACAAACCTTGTATTTAACAGAAAACAAGCGAGCATCAGGAAGGTCAGTCGATAGCCATTCACTAGGCCAACATGTACCCAATTTCCCTGCTTCCTGATCAATATTTTCAACCAGCCCAGCTTTACTGGTAGTTGAAGACTTGTTATCTGCTATGCGCCATGATTTGAAAGGTCCACCGCGAAGCCCATGGATAAAGACAACATCAAATGAAGGACATGCAGATTTGGGTGATCTCTCCGAGTTACCCATAGAGCTAGAGGTGTTACAAGTCTCATCTTCAACACACTGACAAACACTAGAAGGTGAAGAATCAAAATTAACAACTTCTGCAACAGCTGAATCATCTGAACTGCCCTCATCATTCTTGTTGGTGGGTTTCCAGTGTGGTAATTCTGGATTTAACAGGAATATCATGTCCTCATAGAGTGGGAACCTTGTTTTCTGGTTACTACCATCTGCATCGGGAGGGCTGTGATTTAGCACCTGAACCTCTGATGATTCAGAACAACGTACATTTAAGAGAGTTGCCCTTGCATAACTCTGGATTTTTTTGTCGTTACAACAAGGAATATTCCCACTTGCACAATCTTCAAGCCATTTACACCATATTTTATCTGCAAAAATGGCTGTTTTAACATTTGGTAGAAGAGAAAGAATTACAAGTAATCGAGCAGCATGCTTGCGGATATGTGCTGTAGGAGGAACTCTGACACTAGAAGGATCATTACGATCTATACCAGATGAATCACCAGAAACAGAGACATTGCTGTCCTGAGCTTCTGAAACTCTTGATGCTGCATATGCTTCATTTGCAGCAAGTTGTTCATAGTCATCACACAAAAGGTAACGTCGTAGCAAGAAAAGGGCTCCAAGATCAGCTATTTTAGTTTGGCATATAGTATCTTCAGAACAAAGTTCTGTTAGTGCTTTAATTCCTTTCAATGTTGCAAAAGCTGAATCAGCAACATCAGACTTAGGCAAATTATTCTTCTTCAAGTTCTTTATCAATGTTGCAAATGGTTCAAGTGTAAGAAAGTCAGCAAATGGATTTTTGTCAGAAGAATCAGATTCGGTGTCCAACTGAGTTCCTGCTAGTTTGACCACAGCAGTTGCCAATTGGTTAGTAACTTGTGCTGCAGAATGAGCATTAGATTGATCTATTTGAGTCTGCAAGGAAAACATTACCAATAATCAATATGGAAAAGACATTAAGCCACATTTTCCATGACAAAGCAAATGGTTCCACAGGATAGCAAATAGAAATTCCATAGACAATCTTACATATAAGGTATAGTTTTATTTCACTAAATTAACTGGAAGTTCAATTTTGAGTTCTAAACTGGTCCTTGAAATATTGTTTCTCTAGGAATCAAATATTTATGTCATCTACCGCAGAGGACTTTTTTTTTTTCCTTTTGCTAATGCATCCATATAGCATCTCGGTCAGCAATAACAAGAAAAATGAAGTCAATGTGAGAGTTTTGATATTTAAACCTTATAAAAAACCAGTGAATACCCTACCACATGAAGACATTGTGTTGTTTTGTTGATTTTTAAAGTCAAATTGAAAAAAAATTAAACTCAATATGATCACAACACATCTTTATATAACTGATATTATTGACAGATGATGGAATACTTTAATTGCTACATAAACAATAGTTCAAGAACCAACTAGACAAAAAGAAGTGTCATCCAAAGTTGAAAGGCTATCCAGGTAATTTAGCCTTTTGTTATCACAAGTAAAAAAAATTAGTGTACGTGATATGTATACAGCATCAAGAATGTGGTTCATAATTAATTTTGAATATGGATAGCAAAGAAAAAAATTGGCAAATGTGGCACTCAAACATTACTGGATCCATCATGCTTTTAGATAAGTCCAGTGCAACACATGGAAAGAATTCAGCTTTGACATCAATTTTGATCAACATACATAGTTACATACAGTTTTTTTCTCTGGTTTCCCAGTTAAAGGAAAGTCACTTTATATTGTCAAAGAAAAAAGAGTCAAAGAGTAGATTAAAAAACATTCTTTAAAATGGCCACTAGCTCAAATCACAATAGGTGTCCATTCCATCTTTCTGCTATTTGACATAAAGCAACAACTTTATAGCTAAAGATAGTTCAAAGCTAGCAATTTTCACAATTAGTTAAAAATCTTTTTATTGTAGAACCAGTATTCAATTTTCTAGCCTCTACTAAACATGTCAAGCCAATTTCTCCATTAATTAATTGCTGGCAATTGCAGAAAGACATGATAAATCAAGAGAAAAAAAAGACATATGCGCAAGCAGATGCAGAAGTTAAATCCCTGATATGTAATAAGCTCTAAATCATCATCAACTGAAATTGAAGTAAACAATAAATGAATACCTTGGCTTTGTCTGTCTTGGGTGGATTGCTTCCTTTAATGTTTGACGCCTTGCCATTTCCAATAACTTCGTTTAGCAATACAGTTAGCCATCCTTGAGAAATTGGTAATGACTGTGGCCCATGGTCCTCAATGATGAAAGAAAGAATTTTTGTAGCAGAACGGCGTGTACATATGGAAGAAGATTGATCAAAAATCCAGCGGAGAAGAATGCCTGACCACCTTTGACTTTCCTCAAGAGATAAGTGCATGTCCCCTTGGTAAAGTATTTCCAAGACCCTAGCTAATGGTTCGTGCAAATGGCTATGCTTTTCGGACTGCTTGGCCATTCCTCTTATGAGGTGAAGCCCCTTTTCCATTATCATCACCTTTGCATCTTTACTACGTTCAATGGAGACCAGAAAGGCCGACAATGCTACTCGAGCCAACATTACATCCTCATTGTTACTGGCATGAAAAGCTGTAGAAAGAAGGCTAAAGCTCCAATCAGAAACAGAAACAGTCAATGGCAAATTCTGATCATCTAAAAGAGCTCGAGCAACCAGACTGCCATGCCATTTCACTGATCTCTCTGGTGCTTTTAATGCAGTCATGATAGCTTGCCCATCTCTATCAAGTTCTTGGATATGACTTCGGTTAAGTTGTGATGCCAAAGCCCAATTTGCTAATGCCCATGCAGCAAAAGGTACAGCAACATGTTCTCTCTGCAAATCATCCCACAGGCCTGGTACAGGAAAAGAAGTCATTTTCTCAAGTTTGGAAGAACTGCCACCATTTTCCTGTAATTCGAGATTTCTGTATGCATCTGCAGCTGTAAATAACTGATAGTTAAGAGGCTGGGTCAAGTCTAAGAGGCTCTCTGTTCCTGAAAATCCCAATATAGTTGTACCCCCAAGAACTTTTATTCCAATTCCCTGAATTCCTTTGTCACCATCATCATCATCATGCCCATTCTCATCAACGCCATCAAGGTGCAAACCACCTTGCTCAATTACTTCAAGAGCTGCTGCTATGTCTCTGGTATCAGCATTTCCTGTCAACATTGGTGGAAATGATTGGTCGATGCTATCACAGTTTGAAGTGATTATATCCATGATGGCAGCAACAAGCATACTCCTTCCTTTGCAACCATAAGGACCATCCAATGAAGAGTGCTTCAAGGACTGCCCTGCCACAGAAAACCATTAATACAATAGGTAACTTTCAGTACTAAGTAAATAACACATGTATGCAATGTAAAACCTCTATATTGACCATTTTAGCCTTTTGAGAACCAAACAGGCCATTGATAATTGCGAAAAATAATAAGTAACAGAAGTGCCACAAACATTGTATAAACTCCAATTTATGCATACAATAAATTCAGATGAAAACCCAAAGAAAACATATATATTCCATTCAAATATATTTCAACTTAATCTGCTTCTATGCAACTCTAATGCCTTAATGGTTCCTGCCTAATCT